ACAAATTAAAGTTTGTGTCGTTTAACTGTGATCAGAAGGATAGACAGACAAACTTCAGAAAAAAAAACCTAACTAAAAAACATGGTCTCCTCTAAAAGATGCATCAGAATACACGAGGAAAATGACCGCTTCTCTGCATTTCAGGACCATGGTCAGGGAAGCTCAAGTTTCTCACTAAATGACAAAGACAAGCATAACAGTCGTGCAGAAAAAAAGTTAAGATCAAATAAAAATTGAAAATGTTAAATCGCTAGTCTATATATCAGTGACAATGTGTCATATTACCTCGGACTTAAAAGGATTAATAATAATAATAATAATAACTAATATATAAAAATAAATATATAAATAAACTTCTATTTTCTATTTAATTATTTCTATTTTAAGAAATAGAGAATAATAATTTGAGTAATAGAAATGCAGAAAATATACAACTATAAAAACTGGCCAAACTATAATATAAGATCAAAATACACCATTATTTAATTGTCAACTTCTTAAATTTACAGAAACGAAATATTTCACAAAACTAATCAGAAATTATTAACTATGAAAAACAATGTGTTAAAATATCAATACAAATTAGCTGTAAAAATATTTCTCACCTGATCGTCACAATCGTCAAAGTTCAGTCTCTCCCTTTGCGCATGCGTCAGTGTCTGTGTCCCGCTGCTGTCCAGACTAATGATGCTCTCACTGCAAGGTCTGCCGTATTTCAGATCACTCTTTCTGGAGTCAGTGGTTCTGCAAACCTCATAATTGTACACGTGCTGTAAAGTTCCTGTGCCCCCTACGTCTGCGTAAAGAGGCGGATAATACGGAATAACTGGAAGATTCGCTCCAGATTTGTAAAACATCCGCTCGCGTCTCCATCTGTAGCATTTGACTGACAGTATGGCAATGATAGACACGATAAAGAGAAACGAAACTACAGCCAAGGCCAAGACCAGATAGAAAGTCAGGTTGTCGTTGTAGTCCTTGTCGTGCGGAAAGTCAGTGAACTCCGAGAGCACTTCAGGGAAGCTGTCCGCCACCGCCACGTTAACATTGACTGTAGCTGATCGAGAGGGCTGCCCGTTGTCCTCCACTACAACAGTGAGTCTTTGTTTCACAGCATCTTTATCTGTCACTTGGCGCACAGTTCTTATTTCTCCATTCTGTAAGCCCACTTCAAACAGCGCCCTGTCTGTGGCTTTCTGCAGTTTATATGAGAGCCAGGCATTCTGTCCAGAGTCCACATCAACAGCCACCACTTTAGTCACCAGATAACCCACATCTGCCGAACGAGGCACTATTTCAGCCACCACAGAAGCGCCTGACTGGACCGGATACAGAACCTGAGGCGCGTTGTCATTCTGGTCCTGAATCATTATTTTCACACTCACGTTGCTGCTGAGAGGAGGAGAGCCTCCGTCCTGCGCTTTTACGCGGAACTGGAAATCTTTGATCTGCTCGTAATCGAAAGATCGCACTGCATGTATGACTCCACTATCAGCACTAACGGACACTAACGATGAGACTGGCACTCCGTTAGCCGACGAGTCCTCCAGTATGTAAGATACACGGGCATTCTGGTTAAAATCTGCGTCTCTGGCTCTGACTGTGAATATGGAAAGACCCGGTGTGTTGTTTTCTTGAACAGAGGCCTCATATGAGCTCTTGTCAAAGACAGGCGCGTTATCATTCACATCTGATATCTGTAAGGAGAGAGTGACGCTGCTGGAGAGAGAGGGCACGCCCTCATCCGCGCACGTCACACTGATGTTATACTCAGAATCGCGCTCTCGGTCTAAATCACCATCTGTGACTAAACTGAAGAAATTGGCATTTGTCGACTTCAAGGTAAAAGGAATGTTCTCAATAATTGAACAATCAATTTGACCATTTTCTCCTGCATCTGGGTCTTGTGCGTTTATCACAGTCACAACAGTTCCAGAATTAGAGTTTTCTGATATTGTGGTTAATTTAGACATGATGTTGATCATTGGTTTATTGTCATTTATATCAATCACATCCAGAACGATCTTACAAGAATCAGTCAGACCTCCGTCATCGCCCGCCTGTACATGAATTTGATAGTGGCGAGCTTTCTCGTAATCTATATTCCCCGTTACTCTCACCTCACCGTTTGTTTCGTTAATTTCAAACAACTCCGGAACATTATCGAGGGTATTTGTAATAGCATATGCAATTTTGCCGTTAGATCCCTCATCCAAATCAGAAGCCCTCACCGTCGTCACAACTGTGCCTTTTAGAGCATTCTCGGTAATACTCGCTTTATATATTTCCTGCGTACAAACAGGCGCGTTGTCGTTGACATCTAAAACAGTAATTTGTATCTGCGCAGCACCAGACAATTGTGGATCGCCTCCATCTATCGCTTTCAGAACCAGAGATAAATGCTCTTGCTTTTCACGATCAAGAGGCTTTTGAAGAACCATTTTTACCAGCTTACTACCGTCAATTTGACTCTGTAATTTTAATGAAAAGTTATCAGTGGGCGTTAATATATAAGTCTGAAGGCCGTTTATTTCGACATCTAAATCCATCGCTCTCTCTAAAACAAAAACTGCCCCAGTCGCAGCTGACTCACTAATTCTGAATCTCATCTCAGTTCGTTTAAAAGATGGCGAATGGTCATTTATATCTGTAACTTCGACTGTAATGGAGTAAAACTCTATTGGATTTTCTAAAATAATCTGAAAATGTAGTGCGCAAGGCGTTGTCTGTCCGCATAGCGCCTCTCGGTCTATTCTCTCTTTGATAAGGAGGACTCCCCTTTCTTTATTCAGCTCGATGTATTCAGCGCTGTCTCCTGTATAAATACGCGCTTTACCCGATTTCAGTCTCTTTAAATCTAAACCTAAATCCTGCGCTATGTTCCCGACTAAAGAACCTTTCGCCATTTCCTCGGGAATGGAGTAACTGACCTGCCCGAGAGCCGAACTGAGAGAGAGAAACCAAATAAACAGCAGTACTTGCCGCGCCATTGTTCTGTCCGACATTTTGCAGAGGACCGAGGGAATATTAAGGCAGAAAACAAATCAGTCCAAGAAGCTGGAGGACATGATGTATATATCCAAAGTGACAAGAACTAACAAAAGTGTATGAAATTTCAGAAATAAGGATTATTAATACAGTATCTCCGTAATTCGTTTTCTCTCTCCTCATCAGACTGTGCTCTCAGCTTCTGTCTCTCTCTAATAATATGGAGATGATGGGGGTGGAACTGCAGCAGATCTGCTCTTTAAACTCACATATTGACGAACAGCGGCACTAAGAGTCCAGTCTGTTGAACTACAGAAACAACCCAATCGTTTCAGGGCGTTTTCCCACAGTATGAGACGTGTTTTAGAGTTATTTTCCATTATAAATGCAAAACAACAACAAAACAAAATAAATAAATAATTAAATACACAGCAGTTACGGATGTTAATCAAAATACAATTATCTAACAATGAAATATGAATGCACTATTTCGTGTAAACACAAAATGTTAAGAAATAAGTATAAAAATCACAAAACATAACAGGATTAAATATGGCATTAGAATGAACTTGCAAGCTTGAAATATATAATCAACATGAAATATATGAATATGAACGAATGCTACTCTTATTAAAAGGGTCATGAACTGAGAAATAAAAATTCCCTTGATTTTTTGACATTTTAGAGGTACACAAAGTATGATTTGCAGGTCCACAGTTTCGATAAATAAAGCCTAATTTTCGCATAATTTCTTAAGGGATATTATGTTGTGAATTCAAAACAATTTTAACATGCTGCAAGATTTGAAAACTGATACATTTGAACGTTGTTGTCACATATCAGCTTCATATGCATGAGTTTTCTAATGCAGTTGATTCGCTCGGTAGCTCACTCGATGCGGCGTTACACGGTTCGAACCCCGTGAAACTACGGCTCGACAAAACAGCTCTAATTCGCATAAGGAAGTTAAAATAGCAAGGCTGCATCAATTAATGCGCTTTTATTTCACTTTTGCATTTGTTAACACTATCTCATAGGTTTAGGGTTGGGTTTGGTGTAGAGGATATTTCCAACATGATAGAGCATTAACTTTTAGCGCCACTACTCGAATTTTTCAATTATGAACCACCGCAATACGTACCCGAAGCAACGTAACACAAACACAGCAATACGTGCCTATATCAACGTAACAAATACATGCCAGGGTCACGTATTGAACCCGCGTTTTAGCGCCACTCACTGGACATTTCACTTTGAAACTGCCGCGAAACGTGCAGTAAGGTACCTAATAACGGTGTTGCAGAAATTTATTTAGAGGCACGTATTTCGAATGAGCCTGGTTTGGTTTTTATTATGTGGTCACTACTGCTTTGTCTGTTATTACATATCGTTTGATATGTACTGAGTATTTATGCGTTTTTAACCTACAATCCGCCACGCCTATTCAAACAGAGCGTTCCGATGAGGGAGGAGAAAACAGGACAGAAAATAGCCTATTACTTCTAAATTATGATTTTTGTAATGTAAAAAAATCTTGATAACATTGTAAGTGGACCTCATAGAACAGTATAAGATTAAAAAAAAGTCAGTTCATGACCCCTTTAATACTACATAAAATGAGACACTGGAAGGACTTAAAAATTCTAGAAGATATGTTCCAAAGAATGGAGGTAAGGAAGAAAAAAATAGTATAAAGAATGCAAGACTATACATTTCAGCACCACGGCCAGTTACGATGACTCAAGTTGCACTTTAACTGCTGTCTTGACAACCACAGATTAAAGATCCCTAAACATGTACAGAAGGGCGGGGAAAAAGAAAACATACCAAAATGATTGTGGCGTTCAAAACTGTAAAATATCTTTCCAGCTGATAACACCACTTACCAATTATTACAAAAGAGGCGCCTTTGATGATCCGAAATGGTCATAAAGAGGCACAAACGAGATTCAACGTTTTAATCTATTGCTAAATAATATGAAGTTTTATAATACCTTAACCATTATACATACAGAATATCACACACCAAAATAATAATAATACTAATAAATCAAATACAAAAATATCTGAACTGTATAAATTATATATTGTAAAATTACTTAAGGAAGTGATCGAAAACAATTGTTTTAGATTTGTATACATAAAAGAGGCTGAAGTACCCTGATTTAACTAACACTAAAACCAACTTAAAATACGAAATACGTCAGTAGAAAACTTATATAAGCCCAGTGACATCAACACAAGAAAATTAATAGCATGTTAATACTTCAGTACATTCGCTCTTCTATCTGAAACTACGACACCGATGTCAACATGAAAACAACAGCCTAAGTGTAAGAGAGGCAACTTACTTGTAATTGCATGTAAAAATGAAAATGTTTTCCAGAATACAGAACGTGACTCAGTTCGAAAACATTGGTAAGCAATCTTATCGAATGCGTTCCAGTCAATAAATAAATAAATACCCTCACCTGATCATCAAAATCTTCCTTGACCAGTTTTCCTCTTTGCGCATGCGTGAGTGTCTGTGTTCCGCTGCTGTCCAGCCTAATGATGCTCTCACTGCAAGGTCTGCCGTATTTCAGATCACTCTTTCTGGAGTCAGTGGTTCTGCAAACCTCATAATTGTACACGTGCTGTAAAGTTCCTGTGCCCCCTACGTCTGCGTAAGAGGAGGGGAGCCTCCGTCCTGCGCTTTTACGCGGAAAGTGAAATCTTTGATCTGCTCGTAATCGAAAGATCGCACTGAATGTATGACTCCACTATCAGCACTAACGGACACTAACGAGGAGACCGGCACTCCGTTAACCGACGAGTCCTCCAATATGTAAGACACACGGGCATTCTGCTTAAAATCTGCGTCTCTGGCTCTGACTGTGAATATGGAAAGACCTGGTGTGTTGTTTTCTTGAACAGAGGCCTCGTATGAGCATTTGTCAAAGACAGGCGCGTTATCATTCACATCTGATATCTGTAAGGAGAGAGTGACGCTGCTGGAGAGAGAGGGCACGCCCTCATCCGCGCACGTCACACTGATGTTATACTCAGACTCGCGCTCTCGGTCTAAATCACCATCTGTGACTAAACTGAAGAAATTAGCATTTGTCGACTTCAAGGTAAAAGGAATGCTCCCAAGAATTGAACAATCAATTTTACCGTTTTCTCCTGCATCTGGGTCTTGTGCGTTTATCACAGTTACAACAGTTCCAAGATTAGAGTTTTCTGATATTGTGGTTAATTTAGACATGATGTTGATCATTGGTTTATTGTCATTTATATCAATCACATCCAGAACGATCTTACAAGAATCAGTCAGACCTCCGTCATCGCCCGCCTGTACATGAATTTGATAGTGGCGAGCTTTCTCGTAATCTATATTCCCCGTTACTCTCACCTCACCGTTTGTTTCGTTAATTTCAAACAACTCCGGAACATTATCGAGGGTATTTGTAATAGCATATGTAATTTTGCCGTTAGATCCCTCATCCAAATCAGAAGCCCTCACCGTCGTCACAACTGTGCCTTTGAGAGCATTCTCGGTGATACTCGCTTTATATATTTTATGCGTACAAACAGGCGCATTATCGTTCACATCTAAAACAGTAATTTGTATCTGCGAAGTACCAGACAATTGTGGATCGCCTCCATCTATCGCTGTCAGAACCAGAGACAAGTGCTCTTGCTTTTCACGATCGAGAGGTTTCTGAAGAACCATTTCTACTAACTTACTACCGTCTGCCTGAGTCTGTAATTTTAATGAAAAGTTATCAGTGGGCGTTAATATATAAGTCTGAAGGCCGTTTATTTCGACATCTAAATCCATCGCTCTCTCTAAAACAAAAACTGCCCCAGTTGCAGCTGACTCACTAATTCTGAATCTCATCTCAGTTCGTTTAAAAGATGGCGAATGGTCATTTATATCTGTAACTTCGACTGTAATGGAGTAAAACTCTATTGGATTTTCTAAAATAATCTGGAAATGTAGTGCGCAAGGCGTTGTCTGTCCGCATAGCGCCTCTCGGTCTATTCTCTCTTTGATAAGGAGGACTCCTCTTTCTTTATTCAGCTCGATGTATTCGGCACTGTCTCCTGTATAAATACGCGCTTTACCCGATTTCAGTCTCTTTAAATCTAAACCCAAATCCTGCGCTATGTTCCCGACTAAAGAGCCTTTCGCCATTTCCTCAGGAATGGAGTAACTGACCTGCCCGAGAGCCGAACTGAGAGAGAGAAACCAAATAAACAGCAGTACTTGCCGCGCCATTGTTCTGTCCGACATTTTGCAGAGGACCATAGAGGGACTATTAAGGCAGATAACAAATCAATCCAAGAAGATGGAGAAAATGTATAAATCCAAAGTGACAAAAATTAAGAAAGTCTGTAATCCCAGAAGTATACTGAATAGAGTATCTCCGTGATTTGTCTTCGTTCTCCTTCTCAGACTGTGCTCTCAGCTTCTCTCTCTCTCTCTAATAATATGGAGATGATGGGGGTGGAACTGCAGCAGATCTGCTCTCTAAACTGACATATTGAGATACATTTTTAGTTAAGTGTCAGACTTGTCTGAGAACATCAATTTGCTAAACAAAGTTCTGAAGTATAACACCAACAAATGTCTATCATAATACAAATATACTTCAAAAGAAAATGTGAGTTTTTGTAAATAAAAATTTAAGGTAAAAAAGGAAACAATTTCGTGTTGGCTCAAAGTTTTTTTTTTTTTTTTTTTTTAGATCAGGTATCAACACTGATCAGACAAAGAGGGAGAAATACCTAAAATATAATTATCCACATAAATATCCAATCATAAATTAAATCTTGTCTAATTTAACCTTGAACAGGAGAACAGGGCTGCGTTTCCCGGTAACGTTGTCTCTTAGCGCGCTACGAAGACTCTAAAGGTATACTTAACTAAGAATGTTTCAGGAAACACGTATTAATGATAAGGTAAGGTACAACTTAAGAACGACGTAGCGTTAAGTGGGTTTCGGGAAACGCAGTCCAGATCAATAAGCTGTTGAAAATCTCCAAAAGATCGTCTGCTATAAAGAGATACAGCTGAATAAATGAGGTAAATTTTCGCATCGCCGCAATTCAGGACCATGGACAAGGAAGCAAATGCAAACGTTGACTAGAGTCTCTCACTTCTTGACAAAAATAAGTTAAAGTATTGCGCAAAAAAAAAAAAAGAAAAAGAGTTGTAATTGTAAATAACCAACTGAAAGACCCAGGATAATAATGTTAACGTGGAGACTGAATTACTAGACTTTATTTCAGCGGCAGCGTTCCATATACTGTAAGATTGAACTGAAAAAAAAAAAAGTAAAAGAATAAAAAGGAACTTCCACTTAATGTATGAAAGGGGGAAAAGCCTGAAAATCGTTCTGAAACTGAAAAGTTAAGGAGTCGTTTTCTTTTATGGCTGTACAGGAAAAGATGATATAATAACAACACACCACTAACAAGAGAGAAGACCTATTCGAAAAACAACTGCAAAAAAAAAAGGCGAAAAAAAGTCGAAACGTGAAAAAAAGTTCACCAAACTATAATTAAATACAACAGCATGTGATTGGTATCATATTCTGTTGAAATTATTTAAAAGTCAGTGTCTTAGAATTGCAGAAACTACTCATTTCAGAAGACCAGTGCAGTTCAAGCAAATATGCGCAACAACGTTTTAAAAATCGCATAAAAGAGCTGTAAAAAAAACCTATTCTCACCTTATCGTCACAATCATCAAAGTTCAGTCTCTCCCTTGCATGTATGAACGGTTTGAATGCTTTTGCAGTAAAAAAAATGTTGTAAACTGCTACACAAACTGGAAATAAAAATTCTCACCTGATCATCAAATTCTTTATTGATCAGTTTTCCTCTTTGCGCATGCGTGAGTGTCTGTGTCCCGCTGCTGTCCAGACTAACGATGCTCTCATTGCAAGGTCTGCCGTATTTCAGATCACTCTTTCTGGAGTCAGTGGTTCTGCAAACCTCATAATTGTACACGTGCTGTAAAGTTCCTGTGCCTGAATGATGAAATAATCATCTTTCTAAAGAACGGAAATGGTCTTAAAGTAGCAACACGAGATTCTTCAGATTATTTAAAAAACTGATAAAAGTATTTTTGAATCATATAGCTATTGTACACCTCACAGTAAAATCATTACAAAAAAAAAGAGAAAAGAAAAATCACAACTATTACTTGATAAATTAATTTGTGTATATATTAAAGAAAGTGATTAAAAAAAAAAAAACAATAATAAATGTGGGCAAGTTACATAAAGGAGGATGAAGTATGCATACATGAGCAGGAAAAACTCCCTCAACTGGAAATGGAACAAATCTTGCATTAAAGCACTAAAGCGAAAACCAATGTAACAAAAGAAATACAAAATAAGCAGAAAACCCACATTTGATCCGTAACATTAACACAGTAATATAAATAGCAGGGAAATACTTCAAACAACAGCAACAATGCCATCATGAAAACAACAGCCAAACTCGCTTGTTATTGTATGTAAAATTGGAAACATTTAAGATATATATGTATGAACGGTTTGGATGCTTTTGCAGTCAAAATGGGTTGTAAGCTGCAACACAAACTGTAAATAAAAATTCTCACCTGATCATCAAATTCTTCATTGATCAGTTTTCCTCTTTGCGCATGCGTGAGTGTCTGTGTTCCGCTGCTGTCCAGACTAATAATGCTCTCACTGCAAGGTCTGATGTATTTCAGATCACTCTTTCTGGAGTCAGTGGTTCTGCAAACCTCATAATTGTACACGTGCTGTAAAGTTCCTGTGCCCCCTACGTCTGCGTAAAGAGGCGGATAATACGGAATAACTGGAAGATTCGCTCCAGATTTGTAAAACATCCGCTCGCGTCTCCATCTGTAGCATTTGACTGACAGTATGGCAATGAATGTATGACTCCACTATCAGCACTAACGGACACTAACGATGAGACGGGAACTCCGTTAACCGACGAGTCCTCCAGTATGTAAGACACATGGGCATTCTGGTTAAAATCTGCGTCTCTGGCTCTGACTGTGAATATGGAAAGACCCGGTGTGTTGTTTTCTTGAACAGAGGCCTCATATGAGCTCTTGTCAAAGACAGGCGCGTTATCATTCACATCTGATATCTGTAAGGAGAGAGTGACGCTGCTGGAGAGAGAGGGCACGCCCTCATCCGCGCACGTCACACTGATGTTATACTCAGACTCGCGCTCTCGGTCTAAATCACCATCTGTGACTAAACTGAAGAAATTGGCATTCGTCGACCTCAAGGTAAAAGGAATGTTCTCATTAACTGAACACTGAACTTTCCCATTTTCTCCCGAATCAAGATCCTGAACATTTATCATTGTAACCACCGTCTCAGACGCGGGATTTTCAGCTATCACGTTTGTTTTGGACATAATATTGATCACTGGCTCATTATCATTGATATCAATTACATCAACTATAATTTTACACGAATCAGTCAGACCACCATGATCACTCGCTTGAACGCTTATCTCGTAACTGCGAGCTTTTTCAAAGTCTATTACTCCGACCACTGTAACTTGACCAGTATCTTGATTTATGCCAAATAACTGCCTGGCATCATCCTGTCTGTTTGCAATAGAATACTCTATTTTACTATTTATTCCCTCGTCGGGGTCAGTTGCACTCACTGTTGACACTACAGTGTATTTTGGCGCATTCTCTGTGACAGTCGCTTTATAAACTGACTGTAAGAAAACAGGAGCATTGTCGTTTACGTCTAAAACTGTGATGTGGATCTCTATACTGCCAGACAACTGAGGATCTCCCCCATCAATGGCTGTGAGCACTAATTTTATATCATGCTGTTTTTCACGATCTAAAGGCTTTTTAAGAACAATTTCTACATTTTTTCCGTCTCCTGGTTGATTTTTAAATATAAGATTAAAATTATCAGTAGGTTTTAGCGTATAGCTTTGAAGGCCGTTGATTCCCACATCGAGATCTATAGCAGGCTCTAACATAAATTTAGATCCTAAAACTGCAGATTCGCTAATTCTAAAAATAATTATACTCTTCTCAAAACTGGGAGTGTTGTCATTAATATCTATTATTTCAATGGTGATGCTAAAAAATTCCATTGGGTTTTCGAGAATAATCTGAAAATGTAGGGCGCAAGGCGTTGTCTGTCCGCATAGCGCCTCTCGGTCTATTCTCTCTTTGATAAGGAGGACTCCTCTTTCTTTATTCAGCTCGATGTATTCAGCGCTGTCTCCTGTATAAATACGCGCTTTACCCGATTTCAGTCTCTTTAAATCTAAACCCAAATCCTGCGCTATGTTCCCGACTAAAGAGCCTTTCGCCATTTCCTCAGGAATGGAGTAACTGACCTGCCCGAGAGCCGAACTGAGAGAGAGAAACCAAATAAACAGCAGTACTTGCCGCGCCATTGTTCTGTCCGACATTTTGCATTAGACTACGGAAGGAAGATTCAAGCAGAAAAAAAAAAATCAATCCAAAAAGCTGGAGGAAATCATGTATAAATCCAAAGTGACGAGAGTTAACAAAAAAGTCTGTAAGTCAATGAAGAGGGTACTAAATACAGTATCTTCGTGATTTGTCTTCTCTCTTCTTTTCAGACTGTGCTCTCAGCTTCTGTCTCTCTAATAATATGGAGATAATGGGGGTGGAATTGCAGCAGATCTGCTCTTTAAACTCACATATTGACCAACAGCGGCACTAAGAGTCCAGTCTGATGAACTACAGAAATTACCAAATAGTTTTTTTTTCTACACTACGAGACATGATTTCGAATTATTCCACATTGTAAAAATAATTAAAATACAGCCGTTGCGATTGTCATTCAACATACAATTATCTAAAAATGAGTTATGATTGCAGGATTTCCTTTAAACAAATGATAAAAGTAACAAACAAACAAACAAATAAATAAATAAAGTGAATTAAATGAGATACTGAATTAGCACAAACTTAGATGTGCCCTTAACGGAATAGTAGAGAGAAACATGAAATATATAACTATGAACGAATGCGATACTTTTAAATTCTATACATATTGAGGAACATATTGGAAAGACGCAGAAGTTCTAAGATATGCTCTAACGGACGGAGGTAAGGGGGAAAAATATGCCGAAGAATCAACCTTTCAGCACCACGGTCAGTTACTAATATTGCATTTGAGTTCTGCTGGTGTTCACAAGCATATTTGAAAGTTCCTCAAAACAGTCTTAAAAACGCATTGTGGATTTAAAAACTATGAAATACGGATATAGCAGAAAAACCACTTAACAGAGTAGAAAGATTATTTCAGGCATTTCTGAAGACCGAAAATTGTCTAAAAGTAGCTACGCGAGATTCTCCAGATTATTTAACAACCGATAAAATATTTTTACAATCATATAACTATTGTACATACACCTCACACACAATCTTGTATTAAAGCACTAAAGCTAAAACCAACGTAACAAAATAAATACAGAAGCAGAAAACCCACATCAGATCCGTAACATTAACACAAGAAAATAAATAACAGGGAAATACTTCAAACTACAGCAAGGATGCCATCATGAAAACAACAGCCTGATTATGTGAGTAGCAACTTGCTTGTTATTGTAAAAAAAAAAAAAAAAAAAAAAAAGTCGAAACGTGAAGAAAAGTTCACCAAACTATAATAAAATACAACAGCATGTGATTGGTATCATATTCTGTTTAAATTATTTAAAAGTCAGTGTCTTAGAATTGCAGAAACTACTCATTTCAGAAGACCAGTGCAGTTCAAGCAAATATGCGCAACAACTTTTAAAAATCGCATAAAAGAGCAGTAAAAAATCTATTCTCACCTTATCGTCACAATCATCAAAGTTCAGTCTCTCCCTTGCATGTATGAACGGTTTGAATGCTTTTGCAGTAAAAAAAATGTTGTAAACTGCTACACAAACTGGAAATAAAAATTCTCACCTGATCATCAAATTCTTTATTGATCAGTTTTCCTCTTTGCGCATGCGTGAGTGTCTGTGTTCCGCTGCTGTCCAGACTAATAATGCTCTCACTGCAAGGTTTGCCGTATTTCAGATCACTCTTTCTGGAGTCAGTGGTTCTGCAAACCTCATAATTGTACACGTGCTGTAAAGTTCCTGTGCCCCCTACGTCTGCGTAAAGAGGCGGATAATACGGAATAACTGGAAGATTCGCTCCAGATTTGTAAAACATCCGCTCGCGTCTCCATCTGTAGCATTTGACTGACAGTATGGCGATGATAGACACGATAAAGAGAAACGAAACTACAGCCAAGGCCAAGACCAGATAGAAAGTCAGGTTGTCGTTGTAGTCCTTGTCGTGCGGAAAGTCAGTGAACTCCGAGAGCACTTCAGGGAAGCTGTCCGCCACCGCCACGTTAACATTGACTGTAGCTGATCGAGAGGGCTGCCCGTTGTCCTCCACTACAACAGTGAGTCTTTGTTTCACAGCATCTTTATCTGTCACTTGGCGTACAGTTCTTATTTCTCCATTCTGTAAGCCCACTTCAAACAGCGCCCTGTCTGTGGCTTTCTGCAGTTTATATGAGAGCCAGGCATTCTGTCCAGAGTCCACATCAACAGCCACCACTTTAGTCACCAGATAACCCACATCTGCAGAACGAGGCACTATTTCAGCCACCACAGAAGCGCCTGACTGGACCGGATACAGAACCTGAGGCGCGTTGTCATTCTGGTCCTGAATCATTATTTTCACGCTCACGTTGCTGCTGAGAGGAGGAGAACCTCCGTCCTGCACTTTTATGCGGAACTGGAAATCTTTGATCTGCTCGTAATCGAAAGATCGCACAGCGTGTATGACTCCACTATCAGCACTAACGGACACTAACGAGGAGACGGGCACTCCTTTAACCGACGAGTCCTCCAGTATGTAAGACACACGGGCATTTTGGTTAAAATCTGCGTCGCTGGCTCTGACTGTGAATATGGAAAGACCCGGTGTGTTGTTTTCTTGAACAGAGGCCTCATATGAGCTCTTGTCAAAGACAGGCGCGTTATCATTCACATCTGATATCTGTAAGGAGAGAGTGACGCTGCTGGAGAGAGAGGGCACGCCCTCATCCGCGCACGTCACACTGATGTTATACTCAGACTCGCGCTCTCGGTCTAAATCACCTTCTGTAACGAGGCTGTAAAACCCGTCTGATGAAGAATGGATGATAAAAGGAATGTTTTCATTTAATTCACATTTTACGATTCCATTTTCATTTGTTCATTTAAGTGACAATTAACTTTGCCGCTTTCATTCGAGTCTAGGTCTTGAATATTTAATATTGCTAAAACATTGCCAGTTTTTGAATCCTCTGATATCTGGCTTGATTTTGAGATAATATTAATAGTGGGACTATTATCGTTTGTGTCAATAACGTCAACAATTATTTTACAGGAATCAGTATGACCGCCTTCATCTCGTGCCTGAACATCAATTTGATAATACTTACTTGTTTCATAATCTACGCCCACAATAAGCTTTACAACACCAGATTCAGGATCTATTTCAAAAATATCTGCCGCTTTGTCCGCAGTACTTGAAATGGAGAACGATATTCTACCATTTGCACCCTGGTCAGCATCAGAAGCACTAACTGTAGTTAAAACTGTGCCTTTTGGCGAATTTTCAGCTATGTTAGTTTTGTATACGGATTGTAAACACACAGGGGCGTTATCATTAGCATCTAAAACTGTAATATGTATCTTCATTGTACCAGACATTTGGGGTTCGCCTTCGTCGAATGCTGTTAAAAGTAAAGATATATGATCTTTTTTCTCTCGATCTAAGGGCGTTTGGAGAACCATTTCGACGGCTTTATTTCCATCGGGGAGATTCTGAAATTTTAAAACAAAATTATCTGTCGGCTCTAAAGAATAACTCTGCAGACCATTTCGACCGACGTCATGATCTATAGCCCTATCCAAAATAAATCTGGCACCTGATGAAGACAATTCATTAATTTCAAATCTCATCTCAGCCTTACTAAACATTGGTGCATTGTCATTTATATCTGTGACCTCAACTGTAACGCGGTACAACTGCATTGGATTTTCGAGAATAATCTGAAAATGTAGGGCGCAAGGCGTTGTCTGTCCGCATAGCGCCTCTCGGTCTATTCTGTCTTTGATAAGGATGACTCCTCTTTCTTTATTCAGCTCGATGTATTCAACGCTGTCTCCTGTATAAATACGCGCTTTACCCGATTTCAGTCTCTTTAAATCTAAACCTAAATCCTGTGCTATGTTCCCGACTAAAGAGCCTTTCGCCATTTCCTCATGAATGGAGTAACTGACCTGCCCGAGAGCCGAACTGAGAGAGAGAAACCAAATAAACAGCAGTACTTGCCGCGCCATTGTTCTGTCCGACATTTTTTGAGAAGACCACGGAAGAGAAGATTAAGGTAGAAAACAAATTAATCCAAAAAGCTGGAGGAAATCATGAAAAAATCCAAAGTGAAAAGTGGTGATAATAAGTCTGTAAATCCTAAAAATTATAATAAATACATTATCTCTGGGATGTGCCTTCTTTCTCCTTCTCAGACTGTGCTTTCAGCTTATGTCTCTCTCTAATAATATGGAGATGATGGGGGTGGAACTGCAGCAGATCTGCTCTCTAAACTGACATATTGACCAACAGCGGCACTGTGAGTTCAGTCTTATGAACTACAGAAATGAATACACGTATACTTGTTATTCTTATTATTTCAGACATCTACCGTTCAAAAGGCGACAAATTAAACAACATAAAATATAAACATGTCAGAAGTCAAAAAGATACATCATATAAAAATATATTAAATATATACACTATAAATATATTACATAATATACATTTGGATTGCAATGAATGTCTCCTAGAAAAGCAATTGGTTAGTCTTTAAATTGTCATGTATGCCTAATAAAAAAAACAGCATTTTTTTTTAATTATAGAGGAAAAATAAAAACATTCACGAATACAAATGACAAAATAACGTGTTTAAAACGTAAGCAATATGAGAAAACTATACTTCTCTAAGGGAGAAAAACGGACAGTCACAAAGAGGGACTAAAATATCCCACTGTCAGTATTTCAGCACCATGGTCAGTGAATCAAGACACATTTTCTACACGATGGTTTCAAACAATTAATATATTACACATGTACCATATGATAACTATCTAAATAACAAACGACAAAATGAGATGTAGTTTCAATTTGTTGAGAATGACCTTACTTGGTACAAAAAAAAAGTGTTTACAGAAAAACACAAAAGCAACGGTTGACTTAACAAATAGATTTCATATATGTACACACACACACACACACACACGAAAAAAAGAAGAAAAAACTCTAATATATGTTGCCGGGTAACAAAGAGTAGTTAGTCATCATAAGAATTGCCGGCGGTCATGCCTATCCGTCATTAGGAATGAAACTAAGCTGTTTAATTTGCTCATAATCAAATGAACGAACTGCATGTATTATGCCATTCTCGGAGTTTATGGACACGTAAGAGGAAATTGGCTCTCCACCAATTTGAGTATCTTCTAAAAAATACGACAATATGGAGTTTTGATTCCAGTCTAAATCTCTCGCAGTTACACTATATATGGACAGCCCTGGTTTGTTATTTTCAAGAATGTGTGTTGAATAGCTATTTCGATCGAAAACTGGCGCATTATCATTGATGTCAGAAACTTTGAGGCGTAGTGTTGTTGAGCTGGAGAGTGCAGGTGAACCTGAATCGGTCGCAATCACTGTTATATTATATTCTGACTGAGTTTCACGGTCAAGAAAGGCATCTGTGATCAAATTATAATAGTTCGAGAGGGACGATTTGATACTGAACGGGAAGTTTTTATCAATAGAACACATAACCTGTCCATTTCTTCCTGAGTCTGCGTCTTTTACATGAATTATTGCAATAGTAGTACTTGGAGGCGAATCTTCTGATATAGGGCTCGAGAGAGACATCACGTTTATCGCAGGTGCATTATCATTAATGTCAGTTACATCAATTATAAGTTTACTTGTGCTTGTCAGACCGCCTTGGTCTTTAGCCTTAACTCTTATTTCAAACCGCTTATCTTTCTCAAAATCAACATCACCTATAACAGTTATCTGACCTGTATTCCCGTCAATGTTAAAAATATCTTTAAATTGTTCTTTTATATCAGAAAACGAATAAAGTAATTGTCCGTTTGTACCACTATCTGCATCCGTCGCATTTACAGTGATTAGAGGAGTACCTTTTTCAGAATTTTCCATCACAGATGCCCTATAGACTGTCTGGTTAAAAACAGGTGCGTTGTCATTCGCATCTAAAACAGTAACATCTATATTAACAGAGCCAGACCTCTGCGGGCTTCCACCATCTACAGCGATCAGCTTCAGGGATAGATGAGGATGCTTCTCCCGGTCTAACGCTTTATCAAGAACCATCTCAACGTATTTACTGCCGTCTGGGTTTGAGTTTTGTTTAAGAACAAAATAATCATTTCGTGAGAGAATATAATTTTGCAAAGAATTCAGTTCTACGTCAGAGTCATACGCCCTTTCTAAAGCAAAACCCGAACCAAGAGCTGCCGATTCACTAATTTCAAAACTGATTTTATTATTTTCAAACACTGGAGAATTATCATTAACATCGGTGATTTCGACAGTAACCTGGTGCAGCTCCATTGGGTTCTCTAGAATAATCTCGAAGCTGAAGCTGCATGGCGTGATGTCGCCGCAAAGCTGTTCTCGGTCTATTCTCTCACTCACGACCAGAATCCCTTTGTCTGTTCTAAGCTCTGCGTACCGAGTGCTTTCTCCGGTCACGATACGCGCTCGACCCATTCGAAGCCTTTTCAAATCCAGCCCCAGATCTTGTGCTACATTACCAATAAGCGAGCCTTTACTCATTTCTTCAGGGATGGAGTAGCGAATTTGAGAGACGGCAAAAGGAATGTAGCACGAGATGAAAAACAATACTTGCCACTGCGGTTGGAAGAAAACACGCCATCGAGCGCATCCATTTCGATAAAAATCCTTAACAGCCATACTGATTTGCAAGCAAGTTCACCATTAATATTCCAATATGATAGAGCAATATTCCAAGGCAGGATTACAAAAACGTTTTGTATTCGTTTGGAAGAAAAATAGACAGAGAAAGTCACCCTCTCACCAACCCTTAAAGAATGAAACAGGGGAGTGAGCTGCGTCAAAGCGCGCACTGATGGGGTGGGTCCATGGTTTACTGTGAGACAAGCCTGCTGCACTTAAAGTATTTCATTGACCAACAGCGGCCCTTAGAGTTCAAAATAAGCATTAACAGAACGCAAACATTTCAACAGACAAAAGAAAAAAAGAATACTAAGAAAAATTTATGTAAATCGACAGCAGCGCTGTCCACTGAGGAAGTGCTGAAAAATATACAAGCTCCGCGCAGACATGTAACTATAAATGAGTAAAATGTGACACAGGTCCTTGTAACCTGAAAAACAAGTTGGAATGAATTCATGCAACGTTTCAAAGTTTATCACATTACCATATTATATTAACTGAGTACACAACAACAACAACAACAACAACAACAACAACAACAATAATAATAATAATAATATCTCACCTCTACTGGCGAATCTAATTCATCCAGCATGTTTTTCTCGCCGGGAGGGCGCTGCACTGTCAGTGTAGAATTAGGATCCACTATAAACACGTTCTGACTTGCAGGTCTGACAAACTTACAGTCACTGCTTCTGGAATCGGTCGTTCTGTAAACCTCATAATTATAGGCGTGCTGCAGAGTTCCTGTGCCAACAGTGTCCGCGTAACGCGGTGGATAATACGGAATAACTGGAAGATTGGACTTGAAAAACAGGCGAGATTGCCTCCATCTGTAGATTTTAACAGATATTATGACGACCAAACATGTTATGAAAAGAAATGAGACTGCGGCCAAGGCCAAGACCAGATAGAAAGTCAGGTTGTCGTTGTAGTCCTTGTCGTGCGAAAAGTCAGTGACCTCCGAGAGCACTTCAGGGAAGCTGTCCGCCACCGCAACATTAACATTGACTGTGGCTGATCGAGAGGGCTGCCCGTTGTCCTCCACTACAACAGTGAGTCTTTGTTTCACAGCATCTTTATCTGTCACTTGGCGTACAGTTCTTATTTCTCCATTCTGTAAGCCCACCTCAAAAAGCGCCCTGTCTGTGGCTTTCTGCAGTTTATATGAGAGCCAGGCATTCTGTCCAGAGTCCACATCAACAGCCACCACTTTAGTCACCAGATAACCCACAGCTGCCGACCGAGGCACTATTTCAGCCACCACAGAAGCGCCCGATTGGACCGGATACAGAACCTGAGGCGCGTTGTCGTTCTGATCTTGGATGAAAATGTTCACGGTTACGTTGCTACAAAGCGGAGGAGAGCCGCCATCCTGCGCTATAATTGTTACTTTAATGTTTTTGATCTGTTCATAATCAAAAGCTCGCACCGCGTGTACAACTCCGCTTTCTGCGTTAACGGAAACATACGTTCCTACAGGAGAGCCGCCAAAGTCATTTTCTTCCAGAATGTAAGATATACGCGCATTCTGATTTTCGTCCGGGTCACGAGCTCGGATTGAAAGAATAGAAACACCAGGTGAATTATTCTCTAACAAGTATGAATTATAAATACTCTGCTGAAAAACTGGGGGATTATCATTAACATCAGTTACTTTTAAATTAAATGTTTTTCTGCTTGTTAGTGGCGGCTTTCCGGAATCAGTGGCGATGACAGTTATGTTATACTCTGACAACTTCTCACGATCTAAAATAGCATTTATGACTAAAGAATAATAATTTCTTAAAGTCGATTTTATTGTAAAATCTTCAGATCCTTCGATAAAACAATTGACTTTGCCATTATCATCATTGTCTGAGTCCTTAACATTTATTATTGCAATTGTGGTATCAGGTGGAGCATTTTCAGATACTGTGTTCGAGAAAGACATTGTATTAATGACAGGTGCATTGTCGTTTACATCAATGACCTCTAGTGCAATTTTACTCGAATCAGTTAATCCACCCTGATCCCTAGCCTCAACTGTAAGTTCAAATTTAATATCTTTTTCATGATCAATTTCTCCAATAACAGAAACAATGCCAGTGTCGCTGTCAATGTTGAATAACTGCGCAGCGGTTCCTTTTTGTTTGTAGAAATTGTACGTTATTCGCCCATAAGAACTGGCGTCTGCATCTGTGGCGTTCACGGTAGTAACGTAAGTGCCCTTCGGTGCATTTTCCATCACAGATGCCCTATAGACTGTCTGGTTAAACACAGGTGCGTTGTCATTCGCATCTAAAACTGTAACCTCTATATTAACAGAGCCAGACCTCTGCGGGTTTCCGCCATCTACAGCGATCAGCTTTAGAGATAGATGAGGATGCTCCTCCCGGTCTAAGGCTTTCTGTAAAACCATTTCCGCGTATTTACTGCCGTCTGGATTTGAGTGCTGCTTTAAAACAAAATGATTATTTGTCGAGAAAATGTAATTCTGCAGTGAGTTCACGCCTACGTCGTGATCATCTGCGCTTTCCAATAAAAAGCGTGAACCAAGCGTTGCAGACTCGCTAATTTCGAATTTTAATTCTTTGTTCTGAAAGGACGGCGCGTGATCATTTTCATCCAATATTTCAACAGTAACTGGGTGCAGCTCCATTGGGTTCTCTAGAATGATCTCAAAGCTAAAGCTGCATGGTGTGACGTCGCCGCAAAGCTGTTCTCGGTCTATTCTCTCACTCACGACTAGAATCCCTTTGTCTGTTTTAAACTCAGCGTACTGAGTGCTTTCTCCGGTCACGATACGCGCTCGACCCGTTCGAAGCCTTTTCAAATCGAGCCCCAGATCTTGTGCTACATTACCTATGAGTGAGCCTTTCTTCATCTCCTCCAGAATCGAATATCGTATCTGTCCTCTTGCAGTGTAAATATAAAAAGAAAAAAACATCGATAACAGCCACATAATTTTCCATCGCCAAGACCGATGACCCCACTGAACCATAATAATCACAAGGTTAACCAATTGTAAATCCTATACGTTAAAAAGTTGAGATGTAATCCAAGATGTTGTGAGGAAATAATGCAATGAAAAATTTATTGCAAACCTTAGTGCCTTTTGCAAGCAACACTGAATAAAAATGTCGAGGCAGCCTTGCCCTCATCTGCCACAATGTAAGAAATTGGGGAGGGGTGAAGACTGCTGAATGACGAAGCACACCTTAAAATGTTTTACTGATCAACAGCGGCCCTTGCTGTTCAAAGTGAGCCAAAGCAAGGGACGAAATCTGTGATGTTTACCTATTTCCAATTTAATGATATCCTTTGTACTAT